CTTTTTCGGATCCTCGCGTTCACCGTCGAACTAATCTGGGCGTTCATCAGTGGCATCGATATGATTATAAATATTAAAAATATTCAGATATAGACTGTCCGGCATGCGTAGACGAGTCATGATACTGGCCGCAGGCTGTCCGAGGCCCCCATGTAGAAACGTCTGAAAGAAGAGAAGGTGCGAGGCCCAGTTTGCCTCGGGGGCAAACTAGCTCACGTTATGGTGAACGGAAGGGAGGTAGAGGGCGGAATAGTTTGATGAAGACACAAGGTAATTTGTGGCGTAAATACATGCGCGACCAGTGTGCCAGTCTCACCTTATAACACACCAGACAACTAGGAAGCGCGTAGAAGGCGAGACGGTGAAAATGTGGAAGGTGAAACATAATAACCTGACGTACCAATAAACGTTAAAACAGTGAGAAAGCGGTGGGCTGGCTGCCTCGACTAGATTTATTGCCCGGTCGAAACGGACTGTTTTACCACCTGATGGTCGTATCTATGAAGATGTTGCCAACAAAGGCGTGGCCCGAATTTCAGCAATGCATAAGACAATACTGGGCGTTGGTGGCATGCTGCGATGAGGGACTCAATATCCTGTCCTGCATGAGTTCCCTATTACCTGTTTCGGTGCGAAAGTCTGGAGAGAGCAGCAGGATAGGGTGTGCCCTGACCAACGGTGGCAAACGCAAAATGGGTCTGGTCAAGGGCGTGGTGTTTGGTGTTCGAGCTGCAGACAAATCCACATCAATAACGCGTACACAACAGTTCAATTTCAATGACTGCGAACAACAGAGAACGCAGAAAAAAGGAGGTTGGTACGGGATTTTTTCTTTCCGTCCACCTTCTAGGCTTCCGTTGTCGCAGTGGAAATCATGGACTTCATTTCAATTGAGTCTGGAGCAGATCTGCTGGCAACTCTTGGCTATTTGCCTGATCCGTATATGAATAAGGTGGCTTTCTCGCGACGCACACAAATTGGTTTCAATTCGGGTCTGACTCAACTTTGCCATCGTAACTCCGAGACATTAAAATCCAAAGTGAGCCTTTTTTTATTTCCCTTGGCTCGTGCTGTCTCCTAATTTTAAGTCAGATTTTTGTCGTTGCGGGCTGTGGTTGCGCTCTCGGGAATTCCGCCGATTCGAGACAAATCGGAGACGATGGAACAGGAAATACCTGTGGCTTAAGACACCGCTAAGTATGGTGGATCGGGTCACCTCTAAAACACAGATTTACTGTAGGCAATTGCATCATACAACCCGATGATATCACTCACTGTCATCGAATTGCACGTCGCATACCTGTTTGTTCTGCCGCTTCGGTTCCCGCATTTGTTGCGCGCCAGCTCTCAGAGCCCATCCACCAGCTCAACTCGAAATTGAACCGAGCTTGACATCATACCCTGTGGTATGGCGTCAGCGTTGTGCATTAATTTTCCGAGATACCCCACAGCAACTATTTTTGTTGCCCTCCATCAGCTGTCATTAAGATAAGATTCCGAGTCGTCCGATAAGACGGAAGTTAAATGTGGCGGTGCGATTAGATTGCCGAGTGATCGTGCCGAAGTTACGCCGCATCGTATTTCTCCGATATTATCTGAAAGCTGATCACACCAGGAAACTCGTCCAAAAACGAGCCACCATGGGAAGCGTTGAACTGCACAAGTGGGACGAGACGAGGTCGGGATCGGCATTAGATGAGCCCGACATGAGATAAGATCTCGAGCTCGTCAGCGAGATTGCATAAATAAACTGGTTCGCTATGTCATGTCAGTGACCAAAAGCAAAGCTTTCTAGCCTTGTGCCGGGAGGTAATCACTCAGCGACTCCCGCGCTATGGTGTATCCATGTAATCCGACTATCACAACATTCAGCTTCGGTGTCCTTCAGATTTTCCATACGATTTGTCAAGCCCGAGCCCATTCCGAATCGCGCCTTCCAAACTCCTTCCGAATCGGGGAGAACCTCCGCGTGGCGCCCGCAGTTCTCGGGGCACCGCCACCGAAGACTTGCCGTATATCCGTTTCGTGTCTGATTTTAGTAAGCGAGCTGTAAGAGCAGCCGACGGCGCGACGGTTGCCTCCCGCGACGTGTTTGGGAACTACGCCAGCCCACCTGTTGCGCCGCCCAACATCTATTTTTTTCGACACCCACACACAGACTGCGAGCGAGCTCCGGCCTGTGGCGTCTACCTGCAGCGCGTGCACGTTATCGTCCTTTCATCGCTCGAACGTGTGGCTGAATCCTCGGCGATATCGATCTGACTCGCCAGCTGGCGCGATCAGGATGGATAGTTTTTCTCTTTCATCGGATACATACATCCCATGAGCTGTTCTGCTGGTCTGCGAACTTGACGCGCTCCGAGATTCTCGTCCCGGCGTTCATCCAGCTCGTCAGCCTCTTCTCTCCGAATCCGAGGCTCGAGGACATCTTCTGCCTCACGTGCATCCATCCACTCTCTTTGTGCGGTGCGGTCTATTTTCCGACACGACGCGATTCCTCCATGATCCACGCACCCGCGGCTAATCCTGCCACATCTTCGTCCGCAGGTATCGGGGTACGGCCCGCATCTCCCGTGATCCATCCATCGGAGTCTCTTTCAATGACATCGGCCTTTCATCTCCTGGTATCTCGTCTATTTTCGTGCCGGGATGCGGGGAAGGCACGACATGACAGTGAACCTTGAAAGACCGGGATCGTCACCCGAGTCGCCGTGTTCCTGCTTTTCATATCGGTCTGTCAGTCTTTCATCTAATCTTGTCTATCCGGCTTGTCTCGTCTCGTCTAATCCTCGTGAGGCCCGGTCTTCTATTTTACTCTTAATCAGAATCTATACTTACTACTTCGGCACCCATTGCTGCAACTGCGCATTTCGGATCCTGGTTGCAACTCGAGTCATGACGCGTCTTCCGGCCCAAGCGCCGCGCCGCGTCGAGTCGTGTCTTTCGTTTCCCCACGATGATCCTCGCGTCTTACCTCGAGCTCGGCTAGACGCAGATGCCGTGGCTCGCCGGTCTTTCATCTTTCATCTTTCATCTCCCTCCCTCTTTCTCAGGCCTAGATATCTGCCCCCATCGTCTTTGTCCCATCGTGCCATCGTACCGGACTCAATTCATGATCATACAGATATCATCAAAGCCTCGAGTACTTCCTCGCTTTGTCCCTCCCACCTCTTGGCATGACTGACAGAACACGCCTCGCTCTCTTTCACCCCATCTTTCCACCCTACCCCAAAACTAGACAGCATGAAAGGGAGGGAGGTGGGAAGAAACGCGGCGGCTCGGGCGGCACGACCCGGCCTCGCGTCGACTTTTCGTCTTCGGTCGCTTGTCGTATGTTTCAAACTGAGTCACTTTCAAAGCTGTCAATTCTGGATCATCGCCTTGCTTTGACTTGGGATACGACGACATCAACAGCATTGCGACGAACTGGTTCGACTTACTTACTTACAGCCTCGCCGAGTCATGTTGCGTTAAACAATTTCCGCTTCACTTCAAAGACCGTTTGGCGATTATGAATTCGAATTTTGCTTTTTCCGGTAGGTGCGACGGATTTTCCTTTCTCGGACCTATGTAGGCTCTCATGAATATGAATTCAATTTTCGCGTTCATTTGCATCGCCGTATGCATTCCGCGTTCCAAGACCGCAGAGAGCCAGAATTGGTGTGTAACGTTCCTTTCGTTCCTTCGTTCCTTTCTCTCTTGTCGGCCAACGTGTGCTGGCCGCATGTGCGGCTCAAAGGCAGCACGACCCAGATATGGAAACCCTCCACGCCGCAACGAGGCAAAAGGCGCCCAAGCCCGAACTGGGCAGGCAGGGCGGGAAACATGAGGCGCGTGGATGGGCGCTTGACTATATTAGGTGCGAACGGCCGGATTTGGATTTGTCTACTTATAATAACGTTAACACCAGGGAACACGGTGAGCAGGCATGTTGAACGTATCTATGATTCCGACATTGAACACCCTCGCGAGTCGCAGCCCGCAAGAATATCCTTTCCGAGCCTGAGGTGTGTCTTACTGTTTTGCTGTTCTTTGACGTGACGGCATGAACGAAGTGAACCGAATTCGGGTAGTACGGTGCGCCTCGAGTTGTATCCCTTCCCTTCCGAAAGTTCCATCTCTCCCGACCCTCTGCCCTGCTGTAGGTAGGTCTTCTTCCACGAGTTCCTTTCCCCCGAGTCTCTGCCCTGTGGCCGCTGGTGGGCCTCGTTTCGGGAGCGATAATACGGTAGGTATCCTTCCCCAAGTTCCTTCCCTCCTTCCGACTTTCCACCATTGCGAATCCCTCCCTCAAATTCCCTCCCTTCCCAGTGGCGCGCCGCACGGATACCTCCCACCTCGTGGATTCCCCCCCTCCCCCAGCTACCTTCGGGTTTCTCATGTTAATCAAATTTGGAACACAGAAGTCACAAAACGAGGAGATTGGCGCCCGCCCGGCTCGGCTTCTTTCGTCCACCCATATATAGACATAGGCAGACATAGACCAACACCGCCATGCACCTGCGGTCTTTTGGTGTGCACCGACGCGGGATCACCGACGGATATTAGTGCACTGCGCGCGGTTGTTGGAGGTGAAGGCAGTGCCGAGTCCCGACGCGAACTGTCGCGGTTGTTGGATTTGGATGTGGACCAGTTGAACAAATGCGGTGCCCGAGTCGAACTGATATTGAAATTGTTGATGTCGTGTAGTATCGGCGTTTGGCGTGGCCACGCCTCAAGTCGACTCGTACTCGGATTCGGGCGCGGACTCGGGCTCGAGCTATGGCTCGGATTCGGCGGGCTCACCGGCAGCGCCCAGTCCGACAAGACCACATTTGCTTTTTTAAAAGTAACGGCGTTTTCTTTCGGCGGAAATGACGGCGAATAGTGTCGGGTTTTGTAGGCCCAGGTTGCCCGTTTTCAATTTTCGAGCTGTGAGCCTTGGTGGTGAGGTTGTGAGGTTGAACTTGAACTCGTGAATTCTTCGACACGGAGCTGAGGGACACATAAGGCCTTGCAAAGCCTTCGTGGATCATGGGAGATCGCCTCGATTGCCCATTAAAAGGGAAGACGATACTGAGGAGCGGAGGTTCGAATCCTCTCGAAGACATGAGTGCTTTCTTCAACGTTTTTTTTTCCCCCGAGGGATCTATGCAGCTGAATTCATTAGTTCACTCAGTCATTGAATTTGGCTTACATAAAAATTGAATGCAGGGTTCCGCAGTTTGATACCGCGTTTCGGATTTCGCCGTCCTTCAATTATTCCCACAAATATGTAGGAATTCCGGATCCGCACAGAGCCCTGATTCAGAGCCTTTATGGACTCTGGGAGATTGCCTCGAATCCATTGTGATGATCCCATGCTGTGGGTTTTGAGGGGTGGAGCTTCAAATCCTTCCGAAGGCACATATGGGTCGTCGTTTCTTTGAATTTTTTGCTGGGTGTAAATGCAAGGAAATTCGTATATTCGTATTCATTGGGTAATAGGTTTAACAAAACTCGGTTGAACAAATTGAAGGCAGAGTTGAGTTTGATTGGCTTTACGAGTGCACCAGAATGGATGCTCTTCAATTCTTTCTCTGTGTACACACATGTACATGTATCTGAGGCTCGCAGGGGGTGAAGAGAGCCATTATGGATCATGAGAGATCACCTCGAATATGTGGGCCGCTATGTGATGATGCACGTTCAGAGGAGATGGAGATTCGAATCCTCCCAGCGGCATGGCAAGTTTTGCTGTTGCTTTTTTTGGCTCTTTTGGGTGGCCCAAACTCAGAATTACGGGCGTGCAAATGCAAGTATGCACTTAAATTCACTGGTTGATGCGTTGAATTGTGGTTGAATCTTGGCAGGCAGCGTTGTTGAGTTTACCAAGTTCAACGACACGTTACCGTTTTTACTGGTACACAATACTGAGAGTGCACTTCAATTCTTTCTACACTCGTGTAATGGAAAGCCATACAAGGCCTTGAAGGCCTTCGGTAGGAGGTCGCTTTAATCCCATTCTAAGTCTCCGAGGCGAGTGGACTGTAGTGCGGAGGTCGAGGTTCGAGTCCTCCTAAAAGCATTGATATCTTCGGGATAACATTTTTACCCCTTTGAGGGCCCAAATTCTGAATTGGGAGGAAATCCAAAAACTAGAAGTCATTTGATACATAGTCCCTTCGGAATTCGAGTTGAACCACAATGATGGCAGCGTTGTTGAGTTTCGGTATGGCATCGCTGGTGGGTATTGAGAATCTATATTATGCACACACATGGGGTGTGAGCTCAGGCAGGCGAGGCACGAGCCCCCCGCGTGAGAGGCAAGGAAGACTAAAGGCCCGAGCGCTCATCGCTCGTGACCCGTAGACATGTGACACATCATGTCTTTGTTGTGTACGACTGCAACAGATTCGTTCTTGCTCTCTCTTGCGCTCTCTCGCTCTCCTTTTTCGTGTCCCACCCACCCATGCCTGGTAGTCTCTGTCAGCTCATCTTTGAGGCCTGAGATCCCCCAGTGCATATTGGAGCCGCCTCCGAGTCTTTCCGCGGGAGCTTTCCAATTTCTGCCCGTCTCCCCGAGTGAGCACGGCTCAACGAGTCGGCCGCAAAGCGGCCGCTCCATCCGCACATTCACCCAACCAGGATCTAGCATATATCATATTCTCCCCCCACAGCGGCCGAAGGCTGCCGCACACACATCATATATCACTTCCCCTATCGGCATCGCCGACGTCTCCCTTGCGGCATATATCAAGGATTGGAAAGTCTTTCTGGATCTTGGGAGATTCCCTCGACTCATATATGTGTGATTATTAAAACACTGAGAAGGTGGAGGTTCGAATCCTCGCCACGATGCACATATTGTTCAATTTTTCAGGTGGAAATTGCTTCGAGCCAAGCAGTTGAACCGCACTGCCGACTTTAGTCCGGATTCGTTGCAAATATCAAAATTCGGTCCGCGTGGCCACGACCTTTGGCGCCCGACCCGACTCGGACTTGCCGGCAGTGCGCGACCAAACGATCGCCGCGGCGCTACGCGAACAATTACATTCTGGCGGAAACGGCGATCAGTACGGGTAGCGTGGCGTGTTATGGGAACTCGCCAGTACGTATTGTAGTTTTGGCAGTTCTTCTTCAGCTTCTAAACTCACTACCGTGCTTCAATAGTGCGCGTCCTACCAGTATTAGAATGCCAGTTGCTTAGTGCATTTTTTGGCCCTCCCTAGGACTCGAATTCTTCGACTGTGTGCGCCGTGCGGCCTAGCGATTCATTGCCAACACGGTGCTCGGACAATGCTTTCAAAAGCAACGGACGGCGGCGTCTTGTGGGAATCCCGGTTCAAATTTCCTGTCTGAGAATTCAACATTAATGCGCGCACACGGGTCATTCGTCGACGCCGACCGCCATATTCCGAGAGCAGACTGATATTATTTTATTCAATCCGCCCGGTTCGCTTTCACTCAGGCTCATCATCAGCTCATCATGTTCTGTGGCCTGAGGTTTACGGATGAAAGTTTTACTTGTTGCCATGGTTGCGAGGCCCAGTATGTTCTGCCCGCCGACCCTTACGCCCCTGTCGCTCGTTTGACGTTCGCGGAAGCACATATTTAGGAACTGCTCGCGGGCCACACTATCTCACCAAGATTTTTACCGAACGTCACCGTCAACTTTTTTTTTTACTTGCCCTGATTTCGATGCCCGGCACTCTTATGTTTCCTTTACATTACATTCCATCTTTTTTCACCTTTGACGTTCGCCCGCTGAGCCACACATTATTGGCAGCACTGCTCGCGAACCGCGTTATGTCACCAAAGGTTCTCAGTTATTCTTCTGTTGCTAGCACGGTTTTGATGCCCGGGTACACTTATGTTTTCTCCCCACCCTGAACATTACCTCGCTCCCTCTTTCGACGTTCAACGCCATCTTGTCCGCGCTTGACATATCAGCAGAACTGCTCGCGCTGCGCCGCGGTATCCCCACTGGCTCTAAGTGCTTTTCTAAATTCACACCTGAAGTTCTCACTGGGCACTGACCCTACCTACCCTCCGCTCTCCCGGGCTATCACCCTGATCAGTTGGGCACCCCACCGCGTCTTGGCTCTCGCGACTCGCACCCGGGTTCAAAATCACTGGAACAACTCGAATCATTTGTGTTCCACCCTAACAGCCGCGCACACGCTTGCGCGTATATACGCTGACCTCAGTCTTACCTTCGACTAACCGCTGGCCAAAGGCCAGCTAAGCTTCGGAGAATCGAGGTGGCTCAACGATGATCGCAGCACGGTTCAAGCTCAGGGAAGGATCATCATGATCCACCTACCTAAACTATACTAATGCGACGCAGTGTACCGTACGTGCTTTACTTGCTTCGCTTTCATTTATTGATTCATTCTCTCGTTCATTCAAGGCAATCTTGCTCGGTACGGGGTCCTACAAGAATTTCCACACAGAACTGGGAAGGACGGCGATCCCGTGCGCTGGCGAGCTTGTTCGTCAACTTCAACTAGTGAGTAGTACCCTTGAGCGAGAACGAGTCGGGAGTGCACTTACGCCGGCCTTCTCTGCTTCTCCCCCTCTCAGTCCGTCGTGTTTTCTACGATGAAACAATATTTCTTTCGAATTCGAGGGTGCGGGGTTGAGATCGACGTTGACGTAGTTCGCGGCGTTAGTGACTGGATTAAATACTTGGCTCCCCCTCCTTCTCGCCTGCTCTGCTCTTGAACTTCCACGCGCTTCTGAGCGAATATATGGGGATCCTCCGCACTATTGGCGCCAACATTTGCGGACGGGGCCAATTCGAGTGTGCGGCGAACTTGGTTCATTTTCCCTCCGGTGCGGATTCCTCGCCCTCGACTCCTATGTTCACATACAGCTCGTGCGTGGTGCTCGCCACAATATCCATCACCACCGCATGCGCAATCGCCGGTACTGGGCGCATTCCTTCGTACGTGGAGTTCTTCTCTTCCCTGCAGCCATTCAATCATTCATTCACGCACTCATTTCTGAACTTCTAGAATCGCGTTTTGCGCTCGTCCGTGCTGCTATCGGCTCAACTCGGACTTCCTGGAACTTTTAAACCTCCGGCCCCACTAACAACCGCGATTAAGATAATAATAACATTCATTGCCACCGCAACTCGTATGTACCGGTGCGATTCGACTTGAACATGAGTTGAGTTGCTGCCCGAGGTCTGCGTGGAATAATTGAGATTCTAGAAGCCATCCCCTGCCGATCCCGCTCTTGAACGCTAAGTAAGGAAAGTGCAAGCTTTCCTTCTCCCTCGAGAAAACTGCGTCAACACAGGCTGGCATCAACGAGGGTAGGCCTTCGACTGAATCACGAGGACTTGAAGTTCTTCTCCGTATAAGCAACTCATTTACCCACCTCTAGAGTCATACCAATTTTCCCTGCTATACCCCGCCCTTGTTCATATGGGCCTCTGACATTTCCCCGGCAAGTTCATCTGCAACTAGTTCGTTTGCTAATGATTCCGGATCGCCGGTCGGACTCGTGGCCCCCCACAGACTTGCGTTTTTGCGATTCACTAATGCGCGCTTTGAGCCTTCGATATACTTAAGTACGCTTGATTCAACCAAGCTGCTTTGGCTCCTTTGATCCGCCCCGCTTTGTCGATCAAATTGAACCGCTCGTAACGATCGACGATCAAGGTTGGTTTGTTTTCAGCAATCGATACAAGTAAATGCCTTGGCACTATCAATATTTGCGGTACGAGCTCTCGGTGCCTGAGGGGCTTTTGGTTGAATTCTTCCGTCGTCGTTCCCCTTATTACCTTTTTCTATACGTTGGAAATATGTTCCGAACTCGTGCAGGCTCTTGTCTTGTTCGTTTTACATAGGCGTAAACCTGGGTTATAAGCAAATTCTCTGTGTATCGTCAACGCTTTAAGCGTCCACTCCAGGGGGATAGTCAAGCGGGCAACTGCAACTTCAAAGTTCAACTTGAATTCGCTTCAGGTACCGATCTGAAAGACGGTTTTTTTCCTGTCCTTGGCACCTTAGCACATTGGTTTGCGCTCCGCATGCTGCATTCTGTATGTCCCTCGATTTGGAAGTTGACGCACAGTGAAAGAGCGAGTCTACTAGATCCTGACCAACACGATGTCAA